TGTCCTTTGGGCATCTGGGCAAGGCCTAGTAGTCCGCCATAGCCTCGGCCTATGAGAGTGAAGAGTGGGGAGGCGGCCATGGCTATGGTGGACCTGAAGTCATACCTGCAGTAGAAGAGGACTCGAACATTGATTCTGGATCAGTCATTCAACATTGTATTATTATTTCTTGTATGAATAAGAGAAGGGGGAGATAAGGAGGAAGAGATTGTTGGGCGAAGAAGAAGAGCCTTGTCATTGTCTTTGCTGGTGTACATCTTCTTCTTCTTCTTTCTTACTTCTTCTTCGTCTTCTAATCCTCTCTCTCTCCTCTCAAGTTCATTCATTTCGTTCCGCAATTGGATGGCATTGTACTTTCCGATGGATGTGTATCTTGAAATTGGCCAGGGTCGTGACACTGCCCTTAACATCGTCAACAGGGCCTCTACAAAGAGGCCCAATGTTCAAAAGAATCAAAGTCCACAAGGTTCCTAAGGCACACGAAAAAGCAAACATGAAGTTCCAAGTTGGAGTCCTGGCCAGAGCAAAAACAACAAACTGCCCTGGGTCTGTTCGTGGGTTCAAGTCCAGCTTCCCCAGCAGGTGGTTTAAACCGCTAGTACATGGCCCTAGGCTTGTGGAGAATTGTTCATCACCTACTACAAAACAGCCAGAGCTTGCGTGGCACTGTTAAAATACATCGGCTGCTGGCATCGCGTTTCGGCCTCCGAAGGGGCCCACAGCCGACGCATGGCATGTACTGGTGGTTTAATCCACAGAAAGCGAAGTACATCGGGGTACATCGGGGAGGTCAGTCTCTTCCGTATATCATTTTTATGGAGAGAACCAATGTTGTAAGAGTCAGTAAGACAATGCGAAAAAATTCAAAATTTGAAATCCCGATATTAAAAATCCGACAGGACTTCAAAATTCAAAATCCAAACAAAAAATCAAATTCCAATTTCCAAATTGGGAACATTCAAAATTCAGAATTCAAAATTTGAAATTTATAGATTCACAAGAATCAAAACTGTAATTTAGAGTCCACTGACCGTTGTTCTTACCTTTTTGCTTTTTCGTTGATGTCAACTTTTGTGTCCAGCGTGCGAGGATCAGTCAGAGCTCTTGGTGGGAGGCCTGAGGAGGGAGTTTTGGTGGAGGCACGTTCCCAGTCTGGGACACAGTATGAGGAGGCAAGAACAGACGCTCAGGGTCAATACCGTCTTCGAGGACTTCATCCTCAGGCAGCGTATAGAGTTCAAGTCAAGTTGAACGCAGAAATCCAATCGAGAATTGAACGCTCGTCACCAAGCAAGTTTGAGATTACGGTTGGTTCTCTCTCAACTTTTCTGATTTGGACCACTTGCTTGTGTACCCATTTTCTCTCTGGGGTTTGCCACCGACAAGAGTCTGACCAGAAGTCCCAACTATTGGTTAGGTATCTGCCTGGCTAGCCATAGGTCGACTCTTTTGGTTGGGATGAACGCACACGACTTGGACTGCTGGATGACTAAACCTGTGATGGCAATCAGCTGTTCAACCGACAACTGTCAGTATTGTTACGCTGACCACCAGGACGAGAAGCTACATTGTAAACATTTACTAAACAAGCAGTACTACGACGAGTGCAATTTTTTTTTGCTAATTTATTAGTATTGAAAATTGATGCCTCGTTCCTTTCGGAGGAAAAAGACTGGGGCTGTGGTTGCAGAGAGCCAGCTAGAACTTGAAAGGGACAATGGTCTTCCCCGGAATAGAACATATACTCCGTCAATAGAATGTACGCCTTCAGTCATTATAGCGGTATTTTGGTCCATCTTTCAGTCTAGATATAGTGATAACGACCATGCGTGCCCTTCGGGTGAAGATGGTGGTAGTGTGGATCGTGGAGGGCTACCAGATCTGTGTCTTCTGAGAAATGCTGAGGGAGCGGATGAATGCCAGAAGTCGACATGTTCTTGTTTGCCTCACTTGAACTAGTCTGTGATTGATTTGATTATAGATTTTGTATCTCTGAAAAAAACTTCGAAAAAGTAATAAAGCTTATTACTTACGGTTGGTTTGGATCTGTATGTGGTTTTCACTCTCACCGTTCGTGTATCTCTGAAAAAAACTTTGAAAAACTAATAAAGCTTATTACTTACGTTTGGTTTGGATCTGTATGTGGTTTTCGCTCTCACCGTTCTTTTGCAGATTGGTGTGAATGACACCGAGAATGTAGACTTTGTCGTCTTTGAGCAACCGGCAACATGCACGCTAACGGGAACGGCACGACCGTCAACCAGCCAGTGGCAGCCTCACATTAAAGTCCAAGTTGTGCACGCCCAGTCGCCTGACAGGGTGGAGAGAGAGGTTCCACTGCCGTTGTCGCATTTCTTTGCGATTCCAGGACTACAGAAAGGGAAGTACATTGTGCGGCTCGTCTTCGGACTCCCTGAACGCACCCATAACTTCAAATCCAACTCTGTGGAGGTGGACCTGGATGCCAACTGCCAAGTACACATTGGTGCCCTTGAGTTTGAAGCAGAAGAGAGGCATGAGAAACAGGTAAACAGTACTAAATACTAAATATTTGTTAAACACTAAGACTTAGTCCATCGTTGTTTAGTAAACAGATTACTATTCTTTCAGTTCGTTTATGAGTTAAGTAAATAGATAAGTGGTAATTTAGTACCTTTCAGTTCGTTTAGCTCTCCTTGAGAGGGCTTGAGCGCACTATGCACTGTTCCAGACATAGCATTGAGAAGGTTTGTCATAGATAGCCCTGTAAACATTTCTTTCATTTCCACATCACTTGTTCTCGTCCTGTCCCTCGTCTTTTTCTTCTCGCATCGGACCATGATCTTCCGTGCGCCCTCGTCCAACTTTTGAAATAGTTCTTCTCCTGATTGCAGCCCAACCATCATCGCTCATGAGTTTTTCATCACTCTAACCACCTGTCATTTTCTGTATACGTTCCTCTGGTGTTCCCCTCCTGGGTGTTTTGATTATTGCCACAGCATATTGACTTTTCTCTGTGCCTGTTGCTCTGCCCACCTTACTCAGGATTTTTTTATTTTTATTTTTTTACTAAATTTTTAGACCACTTCTCGATTTATGTTGGACATCCTTGCGCAGGGGGTGCCAGGGGCCATGCTAATGTTCTCTGCGAGGCACAAGGCCTCAATAAGCCCTACTGGGCCCCTATTTGCAACAGTGTTGGCTGCCCTAAGTGAAGGCAGGCTCGACAGACCACAAGAGGCCTATTTTGGACTACTTCGCAACTGGCGGAAAATTCAGGCAGTTGCGCAGCGCCAGTTTGCAATCAGACTCGCTTTCATTCACTCTTTACAAGCATGCAAACAGTAGCGCAGCAAACTGGCGACATGCGCCCACTTGAAACTCAGAGATATGGCAACCCAGATACGAGTTCACKTTCAATGGCTATGGYGACACAGCGCCCAAACAACTCTCTGTTCRCATACACTGGATCACCCTGGATATCCCACAYGCGGTTCTCTGAACACTCACACACACACACTGACTCCAACTACAGCTATGGCGGCTATGGCCGCCTCTACCCTATYGCTATGGCTAAGCTTYRTCTSTCTGCCCACTTCGTCTTCGGGCTCACTGCAGACCTCCTTGCACAAGTCGCTTGTGGCAGCGCTTCYGYATGGCTCACRCAGGAATGAATGAATGACTGGGCGCTGCCTCTTGATTTATACTTCTGCAGCTSGTTGGTCTGGCCCTTTCCCATGCCCGAAGTGCACACAGTCCCATGCGGTACTTGCTTGACTGGACCAGGACTGCCTAGGACTGGGACTGCTGACTCAGCACGGGCAGACTCCACCACTTGCCTCACCACTTGCCCACTTGCCTCAGTCTAAACGTGGACAACTTTGAAAGGCCACTACTGGGACCTTCCGGAAGTCCATAGACTTGGCCTTTCGTGACTGTAGCAGCTACGACTTTGACCTTTCTGGACTGTAGCAGCTACGACCTTGACCTTTCGGGAGGGCAACAGCTACGACTTCTAGACCTGACTAAAACTCCTACTCGACAGGTCTACAGATCGAACCCCTGCTTCCTATAGACCCTACGACAACCTACCAACTGTTACAAATACACAGGTCGCGGGTTCAACTCTAGGGGTCGACACAGATACTGTACACAGGTAAGGTGGGGACTAGGGATCGAGCCCTGGAACCTGCATCAGCTACTGCAAACTGGTGAATACCGTTTCACTCCCACCGGCCTAAATTCGAGGTCCTCTGAGAATAACTCAGTCCAAGGCAGGACCTTTACCTTTCTGATCCCTTTCGTAGGCTCTAACGATACCGGGAGCTGTCTCTAGAAGTTCTGCTCTAGTGAACCAGCGGGCATCATCCGGCTCCTGATATGCAAACCGGACCTCTACCTCCTGTTCTGAACACATCTTCACCTACAATGCCGTCGATGTCATACCTCCCGTCCATGTCTGGAGGGATCATGGACCATCTAGATGGGAACTGCTGACTTGTGACACACGGCAGCAACTTCGATGCGTGAAACACGGGGTAGGTATGGACGTGTGCTGGTATCTCTATAGTGTAGGACGGTCCATCTTCTCTGCCCTTTACTTCTAGAACTGGCCACGGTCCTCTATACGCTGGCTGAGAGAACATGGCCCTTTACTTCTAGAACTGGACATGTTCTCCTCAGGTGCAAACTCTTTAGACTTGACCCAGACCAGGTCGCCTACCTGAAACTGTGATGGGCGACGATGCTTATTTGCCTGCTCTATCATTCAGTGCTGGGCCTTCCTGAGGTTTTCAACAACAGTGGCTATCTCTTTTTCATGCTGTATCACGAACTCCCTGGTACCGGGCGGTAGCCTGTGAATCTGATCCCGATTAAGCCCTTCAAACGGTCTACGTGGTCTAAAGGACTTGTGCAATTCGTTGGGAGTGCGACAGGTGGACAAATGCACGCTGTTATTGTATGCACTGGCTACCTTGGGTAACATCTCATCCCAGTTAGTCTGATCGGGTCTAATGTACATGCGCAGAACTTGCTGCAGGATCTTGTTCATCTGTTCGGTCTGACCGTTAGTCTCTGGATGGCGGCCAGACGACATCAGCAATTTTTACCCATAAACTCTCACGAGTTCTTGCCAGCTCTGGCTGGTGAAGCGACTATCTCTATCGCTAACTATGGACAACGGGACTCCATGTTCACTAACCCAAAAATCAAAGAACTTATGTATCACTAACTTTGTGCAGAGGCGCAAAGGGATAAAAATAGCATACTTACCAACTACGACCATGACTTGGCTCTTGCCGTGTCTACTCTTGACACCGGCATCCATGAAGTCAATGGAGACTGAATCTCCAGGCTGGTCTGGAATGGGCAAGGGTCTGAGAAGACCCAGAGGGGCACACGTAGTAGTCTTGGTCCTCTGACAGACTTTACAACCGCGGACATATTCTATGCAGTCGTTTTTCATTCCTGGCCATGTGTACGCGTGCATAAGGTTGGCTAATGTCTTCTGCCAACCGAAGTGTCCCTCTGTATCATGGCATTCCCCTAGGATCAGACTGCAGATTTCCTCATTGTTGGGAACGCATAGGCGGTCGAATACATTAGTTTTCTCGAATAGCAAACCCTATGTAGTGCGGTAATCTGGCTCGGTCTCTGGGGCCTCCTTAAGTTTCTCAAGGAGGTCACTATAGATAGGGTCCTGCGCATACGCCTGTCTAACTTTCTCCTGCAGGTCACTCCCTATGTCCAGATAGTGAACTATGGCTCAAAAGTAGTTTGATCTCCTACTCAGAGCATCCGCAACTACATTGTACTTGCCCTTAACTGGTTTCAGCTCGAAGTCATATTGGTTTAGCTCAGCGGGCCACCTAGTCAACTTAGGTGTCATTTTGACCTGTGTCTTCAACCATTTAAGCGTCTCATGGTCGGAGTACACCTTGAAGTGCCTCCCAAACAGGTAATGCTTCCAATGCTCTAAAGCATGCCTGAGAGCGTAGAATTCCCTCTCGTACGTCGAGGTAGCAACCTTCTCTGAGGGCATCCTCGCTGACATGAACTCTACGGGTCTGTAGCTATTGCCGTCATCTTGCTGGAACACGGCGCCTATTCCATACTGACTCGCGTCCATGGTGACGATAAATGGCAAAGACGGATCTGCTGCCTTGAGGACATGATACTCTATCAATGCGCGCTTTAATTTCTTTAGCGCAGACGTGCAGTCTTTATCCCATTGCCAAATTGCCTCTTTCTTGAGCAACTTGCGCAAGGGAGTGGCCATAGTGGAGAAGTTCCTCACGAACTTCCTGTAATAATTGGCTAAGCCCAGAAACGACCGCAACTATGTCAATGTGCGGGGCGTCGGCCAGTCTCTAATTGCCGCTATCTTACGGTCCTCAGGTTTGATCCCATCTCCATCTAATATGTGGCCCAAGTACAAAACTTGCGTCTTGGCCCTCTCGCACTTCTTTGCGTTGATCTTGAAGTTAGCCTCTCTGAGCTTCTCCAAGACCTGCCTCAAATGACCCTGGTGCTCTTGGAGGGTCCTACTGAAAACTAAGATGTTCTAAATACACTACGACGAATCTATCTAACCAAGGCCTAAACAGGTCATTTATACATCATTGAAATGTGGCTGGCACATTGGTCAGTCCAAAGGGCATCTCTATAAACTCGTAATGCCCACAACGATTCCGGAACGCAGTCTTGTACTGGTCATCAAGATGGACTCCTATCTGATGGTAACCGGACTTCAAATCTATCTTGGAGAAATACTCACAATACTGCACCCGATCTAAAAGATCATCTATCATGGGCAGTGGTTCAACATTATTGACTGTAATCGCATTCAGACCCTTATAGTCTATACACATGCGCAACTCTCCTTCCTTTTTGGGGACAAACAAAACTGGTGCTCCAAAAGGAGACGAACTGGGCCTGATGCAACCTTTCTCAAGGAGCTCGTCCAACTGCTTGCGCAACTCCTCTAACTCTCTAGGGGACATCCTGTAGACTGCTCCCTTAGGAGTCCTGCTGACAGGCTCTATCTCTATCCTTTGCTGGATCGGCCGCGACACTACTCCTGTCGGCGGCTCAGATAAGTCTTTGAACTCTTCCAGCAGCTTGGCTATGGCTGGATCTGTGGAACTCACCTCTTCCTTAGCCCCAGTGACAGGCCTAACATAAACTACAAATACCTGATCCTCTATCTGCTCCTTTTTCACCAATCGCGCTGTCGAGCGCACGGTCCCCGCAGTGAGAGGGGACCTTCTCGGCCGCGTCACGCAGGATTCGGCAGGACTTTAGTCGTGGAGCCTTGCCACTTCGGCCGAGTGCGCCAGCCATACCTCTCGCGAACCCCTACGACAGGATAGGGTCACGCGAGGTACAACTTACCTCGACCTGCAGGAGCTGTCACCATCCCCTAGGTGGGCGTATCCCCGCCGAGCTACCAGTCCACAATACGAAAGCTTTTACATGCAATCGCGGAGGTGGACCAGCCGAGGGCGTTTTCGCGTACGCTATAGCATAGGGGGTACGAGCGGTTC